GCCATCTGTCATGAGTGTGCTGATCCTCATCATGTAGCTGGGACTTTGTTTAAATTCAATCACTGCCTCTCTGCCTGAAAGACGTCTCGTCTGAGTGTATTTAACTAGAATAATTTATTCAGTGTGCTCATGTTCAGTGTGAGTCTAAAGATAGACCACATTCAAACTTGGTTGTTATTGGACGGCCGTTCTGCTCGCCCACAGTTGGACAAGACCATCAGCAGCATGGTATGTCAACAGATCAGCTGCTGAGACTAATGACAAGAAGGGGAATAAAGTTGGTATGGTTTTTGAATTTTGTAAAATATTGTCAATAAATAAAACAGGGTTGTTGCTATTGTCATCTCAATAGAAGCATTTCATACCAATTAGGAAGGAAAACAATTTGTTTGGAAATTCATTCATTTTTTAAGATGGTGATACTTTGTTTTATATTTAAACACATTTTTCTAAGGCAGCAGTAACTTGCAAACTTAATCAACACTAAAATAAAAATAAAGACTCCAGCAGGGAATATAAAAAATAACCAGTTGTATTAGAGGCAGCAAAAACAGTTTTTAATATGATAAAAAAAAACCCAAAACAAACTCAAATAAGGAGTTTGTTTGTAGTGAAGGAACTTTGTGAAGAAACAGCAACATCTAGTGGTAAAGTTACATCTCTTATCCAAAGATCTGTCCATGAGGGGATACAATAAAATAAAACAGAACGTTGGAACTTTAGCAGTTATTTAAACATACATTGCTTTTACAGTTGAAAAAAACAGAGTAAAATAAAAAAGTAATTATAAATGAATGCATTTTTTAGTTTTATTTTTTATGTATTTAGAATCATGCATTGAAAACAGCAAAATATTGTATTATCAATTAATTTTGGTCAAAAACAGCACACAATTAAATAGTAAATAAATAATAAAAATGAATCTTATTTTTCAGTTTACGTGGCTGCATGAGTCTAATCCTCCCTCTCATTAATATTCACAGTAACGTAGGGTCAGATGAAAGCCGACCAATGCCGATGAATGAGAGAAAGAGGGAGGGTCTGACAGACATGGTGACATGAGGAACTCATCCCAGGAGACAGGTCTACAAATGAACCAGCAGCCACACCTGGGACTGTGAGGCTGCCCATTCCACCAACAAACCAACACATGGACACGCCCACACACACACGATTAGGGCTAAGCTTTTGCATCGCACACAATCAACAGGGGTCAAGATTCTTCCTTTGTTGTTTTCTTCTCTCTGCCTGGCCCCAGACTATAAAATCAGATGGTGGAATTGATGGAATTTTAATTTGTTTTGTTTTTTTTAAAATCATTTTTCATATCTCATAGAAATGAGCAAGGTTTTAATAAGAGACAAAAAAAAAAAACAAAAACAAACAAAAAAAAAAACAAAAAAACAACAAACTTGAAAACTCCTGTCCCCTGGTGATGTGTGTATTTTACACATCACCAGGGGACAGGAGTTTCCAAGTTTGTTGGGGTTTTTTTTTGTTTGTTTGTTTTTTTCAAGCTTCGTAACTGGTTTTGATTTAGCTCAAGCAGAGCTTTTCCCAAAACTGAAAAAAAATCTTAAAGAAAATTGATTTTACAAATTCTCTGAAAGAAACAACGCTTGTACAAGTTTTTAGACTTAAAATTTTTTTTTCAAAAATTAAGATTTTTCATATTTAAGATGTTGAAGAGTTTTTGTGGTTTACCCTTCATGTATTAATCAGGAAAATATTCCTGAAATTCTTTCTTTAAGGCCCCCTCCTTTAATAAATCTACAAACCCCTGTGTCTATATAAATTATATGTATTACTGCAGAAAAGTGAGACCAGAGTCCTGATTTTAAGTCTTTAAGTGTGTTTGTGTTTTTATGGTGGAGTCAAACCTGCGCTGAGTCGCAGCAAAGTGACGCCTTTAACCTGCAGGCGTTTACAGGAGAGATAGTTTTAAAAGTGACGCCCTGCTGTCTGTCAGGCCGTTGTTCACTGACTTACACTTACACACTCACACACACACTCACACGCTCACACCAACACGTGTCGGAGGTGAACATCTGGATCTCAGTCATGTCTGGATGTGAGTGAGAGGAGCAGGGGAAACTGACAGGAAACTTCATCCGATAAACAGGAGAGTGTTTGGAGGCAGCTGCAGACAGAACAGATAAGTATGTGACGCACGCTCCAAATATTCATTCATACGGTTATTGAATGGCTGATGTTTATATCAGTGATGAAGAAGAGGTGAGGGGCTTCATGGTGGAGGCAAATCTTCTAACAATCATGAATGGCAAACATTCAAATTGCATAACAACTGTGACTGCAGCTATTCATTATTTAAGATTTATGAATAATTCACTTTGTCATTCATTTTGGAACACATGTTTCATTGTTAGAGCATGGTCATAAAAAGTGTCAAATCTAAGCTCAAGATGAAAGGTATCAGTGAAATCTAAAAAACTGACATTAAAAAAATTGAAAACAAATTTGAATCTTTATCTACAGAGTACAGTGAAATTCAAATCCTGCACATTTTTATACAACTAATTCTAGTGTCTGTCTTTTTTGTTCTAAACTTCTTTTCATTCTTTTTTTCCTTCTCTTTTACACGAGTGTAACTTTTTTACTCATCAACTCTAAACCCCAGAAGTCGCTCAGCGAGGACAAACTCTTACGAAGGTCGCTCACTTTTTGTGGGTCGTCAAAATATTAATCAGAAGCTGTTGCTTACTTTTTGAATAATGCAACGGGACAGACAAATACGGTCCAAAAGATTGGCAGGCTGAATAATTAAAACCACTCAACACAGAGTTTGGTCTAGTTTCCCACCAGCGTGTTCTTCAGAGTTGTCGTATGTCACACTCAAGAAGCAAACTTTAGAGGACGGGATATTTGGAGTGAGACAGACAGTGAGACAAACTTCCACATGTGTTTAAAGGTGTTCAGTCTTGGTGTCTGAGACCTGAGTCACTTCATTCATTCTGTGAATGACTTTTTTTCACACTAAAACAATCAATGGAAAGGTGAGTTTTTATTTTCCTGTCAGGCAGGTCATAAACTCTGACCTCTAACCTCAATGGTCCCTTGAGGATACAACGTTTATTTAACCTGGGGACCGGACTAAAGAAAACTGACAGAGAATGTATCTGACCATAATGTGCCCCACAGTTTATTTACTTTTTAATTTCAAAGACAGACCACCGCCGGTGGGACACTACTCTGAGTATTTTTGGAACAATTTTGACAATTAGTGAATGTAGAAATAGTAAAAAATAAATTGTAGAAGGCAGCAAAAATAATTCAATACATTTTTCCCAGAGTAAAAAATAAATTGTAGAAGGCAAAAATAATTCAATACATTTTTCCCAACTTAATAATAAAACCCAATATAATAAAATAAAGCCTAAGGTTAAATGTCTTTGTATTTATTATGGATGGAGGTTTTGTATGTACTCTGTAAAGACTGTAGCCTAAAACACTACGAGAGCATACATTTATTATTTTTGGACTGTTTTACACTTAATTTTTTTTAAATTTTTTTTCATTGTATAGAAGAAAGAATCCTGAACATGAAGTTGTTTTTTTTGTTTTGTGTTTAAATATATCTTCCTAGAAAAATGTCTAATTTAAATGGTTGTAACAAATTGACAAAAACCTCACGTCGTTTGTAGTTCCATGTTGTCCAAATGCACATTTATACTTCAAGTTTCTTCTAATCGCGGCTCATCGTTGAAACTCTGATCAGGGTTTAGTTGATTTGTGATTTCCACAGTTTTCCACCTCCAAACCAGTCACAGCGACTGAGTTCAGTTTTACTACAGAAACCTAAAGGTTGTGAGGAGACTAGAGCACGTCTCACTTGTGCTGAGTAGACAGGGCGAACACATCCCGGGGTCTGTGTCTGTGTCTGTGTCCGTGTGTGAACCACTGTGTATATTTACATACACACACCCTCAGCTTTGCCAGAATATAAAGAGTGCTTGTGTTTGAGAGGTGGGCCAGTGGCTGACCTCTGCATTCCCGTTCCCAGCAGAGTCGTCCTGTAGCGGAGGTGTGATTGTGGCACCTGGATGTTTAGTTAGAGACAGAGGCTCTCATGCCCTGGTGGTCAACCTGTAAACCTGCCTCAAACCTTGGCAGGGAGCCCCTGAGTTTTATACCTTGTCCCAGGTCCGTGTCTGCGTGATGTTTTCACAAAAAGGCCTTTTGACTGCACTCAACAGGTTGTTGACAACATCCTGACATTCGTCTCTGTCAACGTCAGCCTACAATCCACTGACACACACACACACACACATATACGTCCACTGTGAACTGCCCTGTGGCCATGTACTGTTAGTCTGTTCAGGAAGACTGTTTTTGAAATTATTTTAATTTTTGTCATCTAGTTAGATCCCTTGTATTTTGTCAGTCAGAGATCAGGGGTAAATAAAACTGAGTATTGACCCTAAAACTTTTGACCTTTTAGACCTACTTTAGTGAGACTACAAATGTATAGATCTAATGTTCAACACAGAACATTGAACTTCTTGTCTGTGGAATTGTACTTTAAATTATGGTCTGGCCTGCAGGGTGGAAGAGTGACACTGTTTTGGAGTTGCACGTTCTTCTCACGTCCAAAAACATGCTTTCACAGCCCACTCTGCCCCCGATTTGAAACTGGCACAGCAGTAAAAATGACTGATTGTTCTTAAACAGTGTGTTCACTCTGAATGTCCATAACAGCCCTGGATTCTCACCACAATCTACTGTGTTCATAACTCAGACCAACATCGAATGAGTTCCATTTGATTAGCAGTACGTATTTCACTCATTCCCGTGTCTCTGCCTGGGACTGAACTTTATGATAGAGGCCACTCAGGGAGCAGAACAAATGAGCCGTGAAGCAGCAGCAGCAGCAGCAGCAGCGCGGTGGCTCTGGGCTCTGGCCGTAGGTCTTCTAATGCCTGTTTAACTCCTTTGATTAATGGTAGTGCCGTGTGGCTGTTGTTAACCGGTGTGAAGGAGCTGTGAGCTGTTTCTGAGGTAGTTACAACATCATGGCTGGTGCCTCAGTGTATTTCAGTAACAGTACAGGTACTGCTATCTGTGGTACACCAACAAGATTTTTTTTTATATATATACAGAAATGACAGCAAGGCTCTTCTCCAGCTGTTAGATAATATAATTAGTTTCTCATCGTTGACTCTGTGATGCACGCAGGCTGAACCATGGACATCGAAGAAGCAGCGACGGTCAACGGCCTCGAGGGTCCGTCCAGTCCGAGGCACCTGACTGGGTTGGGAATGGACTGTCTCCTCAGCCCAAAGTACAGACACAGTGGACCGGGTCTCACCTGTCCTCAGGAGTACAGCCAGTGGCTTCCATACCGCCACGACGCAAGTCTGCTGCCCATGAAGGAAGACCTGGCCTGGTGGCTGAACAGCACCATGGGTAAGGAGATCATCTTCTCAAACCCCGTTCTTTTCATTACGATAATGCCATAAACAGCACGGAGCTTCCATTTGTGCCAGATATATTTGATTCACAAAACACTTGGAGTAGAAACCCACGGTCACATTGTACACACATCCATTAACCTACTTACAGCAACTCCTTGGAGTGCCTCTCCATTAGAGGAGCGGCGGCGGCCGAGAGAAGAAAAGAGGGAAAGCTTCTTTACTGCATTGTGAAGGAAACATGAAAGACCCACGCATGTCTCGACCTGTTGGTGGGGTCGTCTATAGACTGACAAGACGCCGACAGAAAACTGTTCATCCGTACGACACAAATACATCAGTCATATCACAGAGAATAAGATGGGTTTAGGATGAGGCCATAGTAACTCACACAAGGATCTTTATTTTATTAATAAAATGGCAAACGCTGGAAAGCTTCTTTACTGCATTGTGAAGGAAACATGAAAGACCCACGCATGTCTCGACCTGTTGGTGGGGTCGTCTATAGACTGACAAGACGCCGACAGAAAACTGTTCATCCGTACGACACAAATACATCAGTCATATCACAGAGAATAAGATGGGTTTAGGATGAGGCCATAGTAACTCACACAAGGATCTTTATTTTATTAATAAAATGGCAAACGCTTTGACCGAGAAACTGTTGTCTAGTAGAGACAGACAGTGAATGAGGTCAAGAAACAAGAAAAGATCAATATATCAATATCATATTAATATAGTAATCACAACATTAGCCTTAAATTAAACACAATATATTTAATGAATGATATTGTCGTGAACTCAAGAATAAGTTTATACAATTTTAAATTCAACAATTCAACCCAAGATTTTTTTTTCTCTTTAGACCTTCACTTCATATCACTTGGTAAAAATGATGCAAAAATATGAAATTGCGGAGTATTTCTTTTTTATCAGCTGCAGACAACAATAATTACAACCCACAGTTTCCTCTTAAGATTTTTTGACACTCCTGTCCTGTCTCGTGCACGTGCGTTTTCTGCCCAGGTGCTGACGTCACAGCAGAAACTCTGATGGACAAGTTGGACAACGGTGTCGTCCTCTGTCAGCTGGCACAGCTGCTGCAGGACAAGATGATGTGTGCCAACAATGGCAAGGTACTGGAACACACACACACACGTGTGCACCCAAATTATTACAAAGAACTCTGGAACACAAAGATACCGAATGAATTCATGTCTGTATGAACCACAAACTAAATTTCCTGAACAAAAAGCTCACGTTGGTTTTAACCTGAAGTAAGAACTTGTCTGTGTTTCCTCGACTCACAGTCTTTCATAAGGAGAGTGATCCACTGGCGAGCCGATGCGACCTCTGGATCTTTTTTCGCCCGAGACAACACTGCCAACTTCCTGTACTGGTGTCGAAAGATCGGCCTTGATGAGGCTTATCTTTTCGAATCAGAAGATTTAGGTGAGTGAAGAACAGCACTCTGTCATATGTTTAAGATAAATTTAAACCACAGTTAGTTAGTTCGAAGTAATACGAATTTTATTTGGTGTTAAATTCGTTTTTCCTCAATTTCTTTAATACACGTTTTTGTTTGTTGTAGCAAAATCTGCTTTAATCTTGTCCTGCTAGCTGACACTTTTAAGACACGATGATCAACATGAATATTAGTGAACGCATTTACTACACTTAAAATAACAAAGTACTGCACATAAACTGGCCGTCATGATGCCTGTTACAGAGTCACCAATCATAAAACTTACAAATGAAAAAAAAAAAAGTTTCCACCTGGGCATGTCTGTGCAACGCTGCCGTTGCATGAGAATGCTAACGTGCAGGTAAATCCCCAACAACAATACGTCCTCCCTGCAGGCACACTGAAGCACTTCATCTGACTAATTAAATGACAGGGAGAGTAAAGTCACTTTACTTCAAGCTTCAGTCAATTGTGACAGTGATTCAGAGGCGGCAGCGACACACAAGGAGAAAAACGCACACAGATTTAGTCCGTGAACAAAGGCATCAAATCTAACATTTTAAAAATAAAAAAAAGGCATCAAATCTAACATTTTAAAAACAATGAACAGGACTTGTAAAAAACAAAATAGTTTTACTGCAGTTCCAATTCCAGACAGCAGGGACAACTCCTTTATCTCTCCTACCCTGATGCCCTCAGCTGCAGCACTCAGGCCCACAGGAATTTTTATTTAGCTTCAAAGACGGAGGTGCACAATAGACACGCAGCACTTCCTGTCTTTAAACTGCATCACCTGTTGGTTTCTGTTTATCTCTGGCTGCATCCTTCCGTTAAGATGTGTAACTGTTTTGTTTTCTGTCCTTCCACCCGTCTGTCTGTCTCTCTTTTAATGTCTGTGATGCCTGAAGTCCTCCACAAGCAGCCCAGAGAGGTGTGTCTGTGTCTGATGGAGCTGGGACGTATGGCAGCCGGGTAACTCCAAATTACTCTGCAATCTTCTCAGCCCTTTCCCCCGAAACATCCATCACATTTATGTAGTCTGGGTTTAGGATAGAAATTACAGGCATTATATATTTCTAAAAAATGCTTATTTTTTTCTATTTTTAACCTGACACAAAGTTTACATTCACAATAAAAATAAAGAAATCTGTTCATTTCAGTCAATAAGAAAATAATATCCTCAAAAAAGGAAAGGTGAAAGGGCAAACAACAAGCCAAGAAGATCAAGAGATCAAGACTTCCACAACTAAAAATAATCATAGGAACAGCACAATATATTGTCAACTTAACTTTGGTTTAACATCTTTTAAAGTCACTTCTTCGGTTCACATTTGGTTAAGTTTTCTTCTTCTATTTTTTACCTTCAGCCCGACAGCTTACGACTTCTTTCACTTCTTTGTTTTATTTTATTTTTAATCGGTGGTTCTCAAACTGTGGTACGCGTACCACTGGTGGTACATGAGCGCTCTCTAGTGGTACGCGAGAAAATTCATATTTTCACATTTACATTTTCAATTGAATAAATCTGAAACATACCATGAACAATTAATACAACATTTAAACTTTTCTAAACATCTCTCCTGTGGTGGAAGCTAACAGTGAAGGCCTCTGCTGCTGTATTCTAATGTTGGTCATCATGGTGGTACTCTGAGAGCTCCATGTTTTCACAGGTAAAACAGAGTATAAAAAGGTTGAGAACTGCTGTTTTAAATAGAAATAAACCAATTTTCAAAAGTACAATTCAAATAAAATCATAATTAACAGTGTAACATAATGTTAGGTGTGGCCATGCGCTTATTTGTGTCTCTCTCTGCAGGTACGGAGTGGAGCCTCCAGGGCTGGTGAAGTTGGAGAGAGAGCTAGAGAAGGAGAGGGAGGAGGCAGGGTGCTTATCTCCGTCGTCCCCTCTCCCCCTCTCTTTTTTCCCCCCTTCACCATCACCCTCCCCTTCACAGGCACATCCGCCCCCAGCTCCCTCTTCTTCACCATCACCTCCTCCCCCTCCTCCTCCTCCTCTTCCTCCTCCTCCACCTGTGGCCACAAACCCGATCATAACCTCTCTGTCTGAACCCGTTGTCTCTGATCTTCCATCAGCCACAACAAACGCAGCACCTACGTGTCCGTCACTCCCTCCTCACTCCTCCGTCTCCTCATCTCACCCCTGCACCACCACCGTTTCAACACAAACACCTTTGTTTTCTCCTCCTAATACACCTGCTGGAACACCACCGTCAGCGCCCCCACCAGGACAAACCCTGGTATCTGCCAAAGCCCCTGCACTTCCCAGCTCGCCACCTGCGGCCACGACTCCACGGTCCTCAGGGAAGTTCACCAAGAGAAAAAGCACAGGCACCAACAACGTTTTGGACAACATTGTATGTACCTAAAAAATTAAATCCTGATAACTATTAATATGGATATCCAAATATACAGAATACACAGCATGTACTCTTTATGTGTTGCAGGTAAGAAACATCATTGAAAACCCTCCCTGCAGCTGCTCCACCAGGTTTGTGGTTGAGAAACAACCCAAAGGCTGTTATCGTGTCGGGGACAAAGTTCTTTACATCCGGGTGAGTGTGTTTATCAGAACTCTGTCTTCTGTCTGTGGACATACAACCGTCTTCATCTTCATCATGTGTGTCTGGGGTAGACAGGTAAATAAGAACTCAAAATCCTGGCTCAGGGCAAAAGGTGTCCTAAAGTAAGTTGTGGTTTTATTTTGTAAAAAAAACAAAAACAAAAACAGATCCATGACTGTATGTTAAAATCATCCACACGTTGACTCCAAATATGACAAACTCCTCCTGTCTCACTGACATAAACTAAAAAGCTCTCAAGCTCATCAAACACGTGATTGTTGGCCCAGCGACAGATATGAAGAGCTGTGAATGTACCAGGGCCACTAATTAATGTTCGAGTCAGCGGCGTCACAGCCATTGTGGATGGAGATGTCTGAGCCTCTCAGTCTTTCTGAGTCACGCCCCCACCTGTGTGCTCTCCTCTACAAAGGCTGCAGGAATGGCCTTCTGGGAAACTGGAGTTGCTTGGCAACCAATGGCCGGGATGAGTCCGAGCTGATAATAATGTTAGGCACATGGACGTGCGGTGGAGAGTTCAGACCTAAAGGGAAAAACAAACATGGCTCTTCAAAGACGTGACTGCAGCGTGCAGTTTTAAATGGCAGCTCTGAATCTTTGTACTGTAATGGGGAGTGGCTATGGACGAATGCTCTGTTCTGCTGAGGGAAAAGGTTGAATGCAAAAAAGTATTCTTGTCAATAAATGTATCATCCATAAATCCATTAATGAATACATTGTAAATGTATAATAAATAATATCATTATTTATAACATCCATAAATCCATTAATGAATACATTCATGCAGTAAATTAATAACAGAGCATCTCTAGGTTGCATGGGTTAATAATGAGTCGGGTTACAATCTATTATCTTCTCCTCTCCAATAACCATAAAAGGCAGTGTCGCAGCTCTGGTCCCTAACAGGTCAGTGCTTCGAGCCCATTTACTGTGGCGTTAATGTCATTGAAAAGCTCATTGATGCAACACTCCCTAAACAGGTAATCAATGCTGTCAGTGTGTGTTAACCGGCCAAAGAGTTACGTCTATATTTGGAAGTGCTGACAGACGGAATATTTATTACTGCCCATTTAGTGAAGAATGCTCAACTTCGTGTCCAGGAACATCTGTTTTTCTGCAGCACACCTGTCAATCACACACGAGACACACACGTCCGAACACCTCGTCAGACCATAACCAGGACGTGAGGTTGTGAAAATCACTCTGTGTTCTTACCTCGTTTTACGTCTGTGTATATTCTGCACGGGTGGTTTCACTGACAAACTCAGTTCTGTTGGGTGAACAAGGGAATTTGGACTCTGTGCTGGACAGTTGAAATGGTTTTCTCAGTTATGCAGAATATTTCTAAGACTGTCCTGCTGATAATCCTGTCTGAGCATTATCAGAAATGATAGTAATTTATATAAAATATCCAAAATAAAAATACAATAAAATAAATGCCTTACTCTTGAAAGGCATTTATAATGTAACATATTTAAAATACTGTAGGTAGCAACATGTACACTCACCAGCAGCTTCCATTCTTCGTGCTTATGGACAGACATTTGTCATCACTCCCTAAAACTCTTCACAATGATTGTGGACAATGAAGATGCAGTCCTGAATCCAATATTATTCTATTCGGAGAAGAATTATTTATTATTATTTATCATTATTTTGAATAATAATAATTCAAATAATCCAATCACCATGTTTCAGTTACACTAAACGGGGCATTTTTAACAGGTGAGGTTTACAGATTCTCTTTCCTTCCTCCTCGGCACTGATGAGGAAACAAACCTCGGTGTGTTAGAGGCGAGCAGCGGCTCATCTACCCTGACTCCGTCCATTACCTTTTAGCTCACAGCTGCCGCCGTGTGTGTTCATGGAAACACACTTTAAAGCTCAATTAGCATCTAGCATGATAACCCACGTGCTGCTCCTGGTGGTGAGTGCTGTTCAGTGAGTGCAGACCTTTTTAAAAAGCAGAAACTATTGATTACACAGACAAAGTCATTAGTGCGGGGTTTTAATCAGACAGCCTTGTTAATGAGCCACTGAGCATGACCGCCCCCCTACTCATGTGTGAACTTTCACCCCCACTGCACCCCCGCCCCTCCCCAAACGTCTCTACTCCCTATGGAGACTATTCAATCACACTGGCTCTAGAGTGCTACGTGGTTCTTTGTGCTTAAAAAAAGGCTTTGCCTTTCCCCCCCCCCTGCACACAATTAGACTCTCTTCCAGCTTTTTTTACCAGGAGTGCAGTCTGTGGAGGGGAAAGGAAGAGACATTTGTGCTAACAGCACTTAGCATCTTTCTATCCATCAGTCTATATACAAGATAAACCTAGAACTTCTCATTTCTACGGTTAAATTCAATTCAAAATAATATTGACTGATAAAAATCTCCACGTTTCAAGTTTTCTTTAAAGAAATGAAGTCTTACTTTTTCTGAAAACTGACCATTGATAAGAAATGTGCAGCTTTTTTCAGGTGTTCTGTAGCAGTGGCTCCAATAGAGCTGCAGGAGCTCTACTTTGTAGCTGACCCTGACCTCTGACCTACACAGGTGCAGGGGGAAATATATGACTTGTTCCCTTGTCGTTCCCTTGTTGTTTTGGTAGCACAAACGGTTTGTAAAAAAAAAAAAAAAGCTAAATTGCTAACATTAGGTTTGTAACTATTTTTTTAAATTATGCATGCTTAATATTATTATTTAGTTTACATTTATTGTCAATTTTATAACACCAACAGCAATTGTCAGTTTCGGCATTAAAAATACTTAATCAAATTTATATGTTAATACATCAAATTCCTCAAAAAATCAGTTTGACTTCTGTATTTGCTGCTGTATAATTTAGTTGCAGCTACAGCTCACAGACAGATACAGACAGTAAACCGTCTGTATCTGTATCGTTTTACCTCCATCCTCGAAAAACAACAACAATCTGTCAAATGTCAAATTTAAATTCCTAATTCATCATCATCACTTAATCAGTCTGCTGTGGAAAACTCACTGAGTTTGATTTATCTCTCTAAACCAGAACACAGCTGCAAAACACTTGGGTGGTGATTTATAGCAAGAAGAAAACATTAAAACAAAAAACAAAACAAAAAAACAGCACACAGTGAAACGACTACACATTGTTTTATTTATGAAGGAATAACTCAGGCTCAGTCAACTGAGTCAGCAACAAAGACAACAGAAGTGCATCACAAGATCAGAATTTGTTTTTAAAATGTACAACACCAGGATATGGTAACATTGATTGTTACCTCCTGTAACGTGTTGTGAGCTCCACTGTGTTCAGGCCCAGGTCTGGACACGGTGCATGGAAATCATGACCTTTGCATTCAGTGCATATGAATGACTTCTTTTCTCTATAAATACACCCAAAGAACTGACTGTACCCGAGAAAGCAGGTTTCTGCACTGGCTAAAGCATGCCTCCTACTGGCGAGCCATTGAAATACTCCTCCTTCCTAAGTATACTCATGCATCTTTCAACACGAGAGGAGAAAAGAGGAAGGGAGAGGGGGAATCAATGGAGCTGCCACGGAGGACACAGGGGAATCCAGACGGTGGTTTATGGGCTGCAGACGAAGCACACTTTGTACAGAGACCAGAAGGGGGAGGAGGGGGGGAGTGCAGAAGGGCGAGGGGTAAGAGGAGTAGGATAGGAGGCTTTTGTAGAGACAGAAATAAAAGGAGTCTGTCTGACAAAAAAAGGGAATGGTGATAACAGGCGACCAGGACACATGACATTTAAAAAAAAAAAAGTAGGTAGAATAAAATAGGAGTGAAGGATAGAGCAACATCTACTGGTGAATCTTTCCAACATGTTGGAGAACATAAGGAAACCTTCAGTTAGAATGGAAACACAAACATGAAGTTAAAAAAATAATAAAATAAAGTAAAATAAACAATAAATAAATAATTGAAAAACAAATATTTTTTTTCTAAAAGTATTTTCAAAAACTCATTGTTTTTAATATAATAATAAGTGTGTTCCATAGTGTAGCAGTTCTCACACTTCTCTTACACCAGCTGCCTTACAAGCAGAAGGTTTTGGGTTTGAGCCCCAGTGGACCCACGTGCCTAATGGCGCCTCCAGTGGCAGCCTGTGTGGATTGCAAAGACTCCCACTGCACATTTCCCCTATGTGGGATAAAATTCGTAAATGTATTTTTTTTTTCCCTTTTAGTTTTATTTTGAATTTATTTTACAAATGCAGGGGCAGTTATAACTGTGAATATTGAAAAGTCAATCACTTCTGAAACAAAGCTGTTAATAATTTCATGGTAGGGTAAGATACATATTATTAATCCTGATATGATTTAGATTTGAGAATGAGTATCTAATAGTACCCCTCCCTCGTGTCTGACGGGGACGATGCTTTACCAGGATGTCAGACTTGACCTCTTGTCGACCTTTACATTTTAATCTTCAGGCTGACAGTGGAGACAGACCTTGGCTGCCCCCTCCTGCGACACTGCCTGTGTGCACGTGCTTGTGCCATTGATTCATTCTCTCCTCTTATACACAGCACAGCAACACATCTCTCCCCACGCGAGAGGTGGAGATTGAGCTTGTATTATCACCGTCTTAATGGCTGCGTAATGAAGGGTTTTGTGGAGATAAGGCGGCAGGGATAGGTGGGACAACAGGGTGTGGGGGGAAACTGGGGGGTACACGGCCAGCTTTGTAAGACATGCTGGGAATGTTAATGTCTCCTGGGAGATGAGGGTCTGAGGCAAACTCAAATTTCAATTTCTACTTCCATTTTTTTTTCTAGGATTTTATCTTATGGCAGCGGTTGCCATGGCAGCAGACGGTTTTTAGCTTTATATGACGAATGTGGTGGACAGTAAAGGTGACGTCTAAATTTAGAAGACACTAAAAGTTCAGTCATTATTAGTATTTATTTTAAAATTAGACTAATAAGCTGGTTTTTGTTTGCATGTTTTTTCCACACTGCTCATGCCTGTGTGCGTGTGTGCGTGTATTCATGTGTGGATTACTCCCTGTGAGCTCAGCTGGTGCCACATGCTGTTGTTTAATTTGATTTAATGAGATTTTGACAAAGAGGGATAATTTGCTGAGCCGAGCCCACCAGTAGGGGGAGGCTGGTTATAATGGTGTTAGTATGTGTTTGTGTATGTGTGTGTAAGTTTGTCATTTTTCAAGAAAATTCAAAGTTCTTTTATACAAGTTAAGAATGTATTTTACAAATTTACTGGCTGAAACACACTGCAGTCAGAAAACACATTTTCCTGTCAACTTAAATACAATACTGTGGTATAAATGATAAGTCTTCCTGATCTAAGAACCGCCTGTGAACTCTTGTAACTGGAACAATAGGCAACATCTGAAAATGTGTGAGCGTTTTTAAGAGCTGTAACTTCAGTTTAGCTCTTGTGGTTTTCTTCTACTGTAATTGGATAATAAGAAGTCTGATCTGCACAACATTTTTAAACAATTTAACACAGTGGTTCTCAAACTGTGGTACGTGTACCACCAGTGGTACGTGAGCGATCTCTAGTGGTACGCAGGGAAAATTTATATTTTCAATTGAATAAAGCTGAAACATACCATGCACAATTAATACAACATTTAGAAAAAAATGTATATCTACTTGTGAGATTATGAATTAGGATGTCTGTTCTTTTTATTTATTTACTTGCAATGTAAGTCTGTTGCTCACGTAAGCAGAGGCAGCATGGAATCATGGGATCACTTGCAAGTTGAACGTGGAACGAGCAGGGGGATTCTAATGTTGGTCATCATGGTGGGACTCAGAGAGCTCAGTGTTTTCTCAGGTGGTACAGAGTATAGAAAGTTTGAGAACCACTGCTTTAACACATTTGCTTCTGACTCCAAATCCCTCCACAACTACAACATAGTGATAACCCAACGTCAGCTGTTGATCTATGTCCAGTGGAGAGGTTTAAAGTCCTATTTTGTCATATTATATCTTTGAATTTGTAGGTGGTGCAGTCTCTACCTTCTGACATTTACCCCATCTGGTGTCACATTTACAGATGCTGAATGAGCGGCATGTGATGGTGCGTGTAGGTGGAGGCTGGGAGACCTTTATTAGTTATCTGGAGAAACATGACCCCTGCAGAGGAGGAGGAGGAGGCCTTACTGGCAGACCAGAGGTCAAGGTCTGCAGGCTAAAGGCAAAACCCCCCACTTTAAACATCTCTTCACCTGACAGCTACATGGTGGTGGGCGCCCATTACAGAGGCAAAAAGTAGACACTAATTCATTTGAAACTGGTTTTCAGTAACCTGGACTGAGGACACTGACTGATGTAAAGCTGTGTACGAGTCATAGGCTAAAAATCATCTGTGTTTAACTGCTATAACTTTGACACTTGGCCTGGAGATGAAACCTCAGATATTATAGGTCTACAAAACAATTTCTACAAAAGAAAAATTAATCATCAATTTGGTTTTTTTTGGGAGAACAAAAAAGACCTGGTTTGACATCATTCATCTTTATCAGAATGGAGTGCAGGTTAACAATTACACGGTCCAAAGACCAGAGCTGATCAGAAATGTTCTTCTCTTCATGAAGACATGGTACAAAAAAGTCATCAGGTCAGATAAAATTCATACAATTACCATTAATACTAGAGAGAATTTTGTAGCAATTCCACTTGGTTTTAAAGCATCATTATAACAATAATTACTTCACTTTGGTGAAACATTAAAAATTGTGATGGTAAAAGTGTCACTAAAGAAAACAATATTGTAAATTTTTGGTTAATGTAAACATAATATTCATCTGATTATTATATGAATACATATATATAATGGGGGTTTTAACCTGCTTTTGATTGAATACAAAATACACTTTCAGTATGTCTCGATTAGTGGGCAGAAACTTTGTCAGATGTGGCTTGCTTCACTCACACATGTTAACATGCTGAAAAAGAAACCACAACCAATAACAGGATGTTGTATTCTGACAGGTTCAGTCTGATTGTCTTTGTCTGCTATTGTCAATCAATTTTAAAAATGTGACATTCTCTCCTGTCAGAGGTTTAGATATAACAATATTTACAGATTTTGGTCCTTAATGTATTTCAGGGGAGTGACGTTGTATGGTTATCGTAACTTGCAGAATTGTGACATGTACATCTTCCTGCTTTTGCTTTAATTTGAATTGTTTTTTAGTCTAATCAAAGAGCTCTGTTTTTATATCAACATAAGAATATATAAATATATATTCTAGCTCTAAATTTGGAGGTTACTGAATTTTGCCAGTAATTGTTTGGCATGTTTTCTTCAGGAGAGTATAGGAAAAGTTTCATATGAGAATGATTCTAGGTTTTGAGTTTTGGTGAAATATATTATATCTTCTGTTTACAATGAAAAGTACGTATTTTACAAAGTTTTGATATTAGTGAGAATTTGTAAAAGGAAACACAGTGCCAAAGGTTTTTACACTAAGTCCATCACAGCATTGTCATTGTTTACTATTGTTTTTAAATGTATGATTAACGTCATTTGAAAACAGTATCGAGAATTAAAAAATGTTTTTTTTACAAGCACTTTGTTCAAAGCAGAAAGTTTTGAAGATTTTAAGTCTTTATTTATTCTTAGTTATTTCTCCCTTACAGCTACTAATTAAATTAAACTTCTTTATTACTCATATTATATCGATGTGTTAAAACCATTGTATTGGACTCCTGAATATCCTTAGCTGCAGACCCCATGCCACCGAAAAGAGGCAAACCTAATAAAAAATCAATGTCAGTTTAAGGCCACACTCACAACTAAGACAGTACTTCTCAAAGAGTGCGGCAGGTGTGAGGTGCCAGCGGGTGAGGATGCTGAGGCAGGAGAGCCTTTTCAATGGAATATAGTACTCTGGACACAAGTGTGCTGCTGCTGTAATTCTTGAATCCTAAACAAGCCTCAAGTCACTAGGTGGCAGCAACTTATACAGTGATTTGTACAGATAAAAAAATAAAAAGAAGTATCAGGTTCTCAATAGTTTTTCAATTAAGGTGGAGTGAGTGTCCCATAGGGGGCATGAGAGAAAATAATTCGGAACCACTTTCAGCAAATTTCAAATTTATCTTGGTCAGATGTTAAAAATTATGATTTTTTTTTTTGGCAAAAATATTTTCAACATTTTTTCTTGTCTACATGTTTCTCGTCAAATTAGAGACTTTAGAGATTTTTTTTAAACAATTTTTTTCTGGACTTTTTGGTCAAATGAAGAAAAATATAAGATTTTCTTGAAATCGTATTTTGTCTAAATGTTTCTCATAAAATAACAGCATTTAAAGAAATTTTAGTATCATTTATTTAGGATTTATTCAGCATAATCATAATTTGGCTTGTTATTTATGGTGAGATTAAAAAAATGATCACTTTTTGGCAAAATAATTTTATCTTGTCCACATGTTTCTCATCAAATTATACCTATTTAAGAAAATCATTAGAATTTTTTTGTGTTTGGAATTTTTAGGTAAAACCCTAATTTAGCATTCTCATGAAATCATTAGTAAACACTTGACCTAAATCATTTGTGCTAAAACTCCAAAACTATTATATCTGAACATTTCCAAAAACAATTCTCAGAAAATGCTTTAAAATGCCTTAAAACATGCTGCCAAGTGAATATTTTGTGCTGAAAAAAAAAAAAAAATCTGACAACAACACCATAAATGTCTCTGTGGCGCAATTGGTTAGCGCATTCCACTGTAACCTAAAGGTTGGTGGTTGGAGCAACAATGGACGTTTAAATTCTTAAAATGAACGGTTATGTCTAAACACATGCTGCCAAGATAATGATTTGTTCTAAAACCTGCAAAAACCATTTTTATGAATATTTCAAAGTATCACCAAAACATGCCTTGCCTTATATCACGAAAAAATGTAAAAAAAAAGTCCAGAAAAGCCTCAAAATGAAAGTTTATGCCACAAAACATGCTGCCAAATGAATAATTAGTGCTAAAAACTCCAAAAAATATTTTTTATGAATATTTCAAAACTAACCCAAAACATGCCTTACCACTGGAAAAATCGCAAAAAATAAAAAGTC